AGAATCTCATTTTGTTAAAAAATATTGTCCTTTAGGAAATTTAATAAATTTTGAAAGTATCAATTTTTTTTGTTTGATGCGAAACTTAATAATTTACAGGTATTTTTTTTATATTCTCGAACTCCTTCTTCATCTATTAGGCTGGCGTAGATGTAACCTGTGATACATTGTTTCCTGCCTAGGATGATGAATGCTGGATCTCCTTGACTCTACTCATAGAATTTTGCTTATGCCTCCTTGATAATGGCTATGCAACTCTTCCTGTTATCTCCATATGATGGCACATCTCTAAAACTCAGTTTAATGGTTCTGAGGCCGGCTGGTAGTAAGGTTTCCCGAACTCTGTGGTAGGTCTCAGAGAGGCTGACTCCATCAACAGCAGCAAAATATCAGAGTATTAACAGTGCCATGTTGCGCATGGATGGTGTCCCTGTTAATGCTTTTGGTGTGCATTGTCAAGGCCACATAAGGAGCTCTATGTCACGGCTTAGGGTTAATTAACAGAACTGAGACAACTGCATAGCTTATTGATTAGGAGGCTGTGCTCTATCTATGAATAAGTCAAGTTCTCGTTAAACTCGAATCATGACCAAAGCAACCAAAAATTTATAACCTAAAAACCAAAATTATTTAATATATCTTTTACAATTATTCGCGGTCTGCAAAGAAACATTCTGTCAGCTGAGTTTTACCTCCTGCAAAATTCACCAGACTTGCTTGCACTTAGTAAAACAAATTTAAATTCTGCAATTCCTTCTTCAGATGTCAGTGTTGATGGGTACTATCCTTTGATTTGTAAAGACTCCAATAGTCACATGCTAGGTTTAGGGGTATACATACGCATTAATTCCCCTATTTAACAAGATATCAGGTTAGAATCCTTTGACCATTCTTTTATGTGCTTTCGCCTAGCACCTCTTCACTCTATCACCTTTCTCTTTGTTCTTTATCGTTTTCCTTCTTACCATGATTGCACTCTTTTAGATGTTATCTCTGATCAAATTGACCATGCTCTCTTTCTTTACCCCTCTGCCAATATTGTTGTTGTTGGTGATTTTAATGCCCATCACACTGAAGGGCTTGGCTCTAATACCACTGATCCTGCTGACACTAAAGTCTTTAACTTCTGCGTTTCTCAATATCTTACTCAGATAGTTAACTTTGTGACTCGTTTTCCTGACAACCCTAATCATTTACCTTCACTCTATGACTTATGTCTTGTCTCTGACCCTAGCTTAGGTTCTGTTTCTCCCTTTTCTCCCTTAGGTGGTTCTGACCATGCAATGATCTCTATAAATCTTTTTTCTCATACTTCTTTTTTGGGCTCACCTTATCATCGCACCACCTACTACTACCCTAAAGCTGACTAGGATTCTTTTTGTGATTTTCTTTGTGATAGTCCTTGGGCGAATGTTTTTTCTCTCTCAGCTGATAAATGCGCCTCCTACATAACCTCCTGGATTCAGGCTGGAATGGAAGCTTTTATTCCTTCTCGTCGGTTTCAAGTCAAACCTCATTCTACTCCATGGTTTTCTCCTTCTTGTGCTATATCCAATCGTAATCATTTTTTTCATCTTTTTCAAAAGAACAACTCTTTTGAGAACAAACAGCTATTTATTATTGCAAGAAATCGATGTAAAAAGCTTTCTGATGCTAAACTCCATTATTCTCAGTTCACTAAATCTCGCATCTTATCACAGAAGTTAGGCTCTAAAGACTTTTGGAAAATCTTCAACAGCATTAATAACAAGGGTAGATCTAACATTTCATCTCTCATTCATGGGACTGATCTTATTACCTCTCCCAAGGATAAGGCAGAACTATTTGCAAAGAACTTTTCTTCTAATTCCACTCTTGAATCTTATGGACATTCTCTTCCTTCCATTCCAGTCAAACAGGTTGACCCATTGTTAGACATTCAAATCACTCCGGCTTCTGTTGCTAAAGTCATATCTCAATTAAACTCGTCTACAGCTTGTGGTCCAGACAACATTCCTGTCACAGTCTTGCAGAATTGTTCTCCAGAACTTTCTTCAATTCTCTCTAAACTATTTAACAAGTGTTTGACTGAGTCTTGTTTTTCTGCTTGTTGGAAAATGGCATCTGTGGTTCCAATATTCAAAAACTCTGGAGAAAATTCTGACCCCTCCAATTATCGACCGATCAGTCTTCTTTCTGTTATTTAACTTTCTGGGAAAGTTTTTGAGACTATCAAATCATTTCTTTCTAACCGGTTTATTAAAGTCATCCTTGAAAGCCAACACTCTTCTTTATTTCCAGTAACTTCTGGGGTTCCCCAAGGCTCCATCCTGGGCCCTGTTTTGTTTCTTATCTACATAAATGATCTTCCTGACAACCTTTCATCTAAAGTAGCTCTTTTTGCTGATGACTCAACTTTATACTCCTGTCTTGGCAAAAAATCTTCTCTTTTCGATCGCCTAGAACAAGCAGCTGATCTTGAATCCAATCTCACTTCAGTAATAGATTGGGGTTCACAGTGTCTTGTGAATTTCAACTCTAACAAAACCCAGTTGTTTACTGCAAACAACTACCGTAATATGGTCAACATTCCTATATTAATGAATGGCAATCCTCTTACTGAGTCCTCCACTTTACGTCTTCTTGGATTATTGCTTACAACTGACCTTTCATGGAAACCATATATACATACCATATATCTGCTAAGGTTGCATCTCTTTATCGTGCTCGCCATTTCCTTACTTCTGATTCCATTCTCTACCTCTACAAATCTCTTATTTGCCCCTGTATGGAATACTGTTGTCATATTTAAGCTGGTTCTTCTAACGATTCACTTTTTCTTCTTGACAAGGTCCTAAAACGCATTGTTGGACCTGGACTATCTGCTAAGCTTAAGCCTCTTTCCCATCGTCGTAAAGTTGCATCTCTTTCTCTTTTCTACAAATACTATCATGGTCACTGCTCAAAGGAGTTATCTTCTCTAGTTCCATCAACTAAAATTCATTCTCGTTTTACTCGTCATTCAGCTAAGTCTCATTCGTTTACTGTATCTGTCCCTGCATGCTCTATAAACTTTTATTTATTTAGTTTTTTTCCCTGCACTTCAATCCTTTGGAACTCTCTCCCATCTTTATGTTTTCCTGACTCATACAACTTTCAACTTTTTAAGTCTTTTGTCAACTGTTTTCATGCTCTATAATTCTGTTCTTTTTTTTCCTAGTAACTCCCAACTTAATGGTGGTTGCTTGCAGCCTTGTTGGGAGTGAATGCAAATAAAAAAAAAAAAAAGAGTTAAAAGCTTTCGGTTGGATGAAACTTGACAGTATCCCTACTTGGGTTCAAGTTGAAAACTTAATTTGATTTTTAAATGAAAAAGCCTCCTTTTATGTTAATGAAACATTGTGCCATAACATTTTTTGAAACTTATGAGTTCAATAAGTATTTGTTATCAAACAAAGACTCATTGAAAAATATGGGTTCAACGAAAAAATTTATAGTTGGTATGATTCATCTTTCCCTGTTTATTGACTTGCTATATTCCGACAAATGCTTCGTCGATGACAGTGTAATTGAAAACTGATTAGTTAGATACAAGTAAACAATTGTTATATACATACATGCATACATACATACATACATACATACATATATATATATATATATATATATATATATATATATATATATATATATATATATATATATATATATATATATATATATATATATATGTATATATGTAAAATTCAATAAAAATAATCATTTCTTATAAACAAAAATGATATCATATCACGAGACATATCGTATATCGTATAAAAATGATATCGTATAACAAGAAAATGACTTTTAAAGATTATATATATATATATATATATATATATATATATATATATATATATATATATATATATATATATATATAAATATATATTTCCAAGAACTTTAATATAGTTAAGTGGCAGAATTATACACTCAGCCCATTAACAGTCAATGGCCCAGTTGGTGGTCTACGCGATGCAAAATTCTATACTCATAGAGAGTTTACTAGTTTACTAAATTCAGCCAGACATAATTTTTTATGCAATCGTGTAGTACCTTATTGGAATTGTCTACTAGATTTTGTTGATGCTTCAAAGACAGTTGACCAATGCAAAATTAATTATGACAAATGGATTAATTCAATTGTTCGTTGGTCTACTATAGCTGGGTCTCAATAGATTCCCAGCTCATAGAAATTTTAAACTGTTATTGTAGAATAGAAATAATAATAATATTATATATATATATATATATATATATATATATATATATATATATATATATATATACATATATATATATAAATATATATATATATATATATATATATATATATATATATATATATATATATATATATATATATATATATATATATATATATATATATAATATATATAATATACATATATATATATATATATATATATATATATATATATATATATATATATATATATATATATAATATACATATATATATATATACATATAATATACATATATATATATATATAATATATATATGTATATATATATTCATATATATAATATATATATAATACATATATATATAAATATATTTATATATAATGTATATATATATATATGAAATATATAGATGTATACTATATAAAATATATAGATGTATACAATATAATATATATATATATATATATATATATATATATATATATATATATATATATATATATATATATAATATATTATATTATATTATATTATATTCTATTATATAAATCAACTTATAAAGTCATTTTGAACAATCTTACTTAACACATGCTCAAAACCTTGGTGAGTATGATACTCATATATAATACATATACGATACATATATAATGAATGAATAAAAATGATACTCAGCATCATTTTCATTCATTTATTATATTTGTATATATAGGTACGCGCATATCGTGATTTACGGAACCGATTTTTGTGCTAAAATTTTGTGACTCATTTTTTTCACTTCTTTTCAGGCAGCGTGGGGTAAACGTAGTTTTGTGAAGTTTCTTTTTAGAAACATGTATACACATAGATACTTTTTGGAAAGAAGAGAAGCTTATCTTTACTTTTTAAAAACTTTTTTGTATGGTTACTAGGCTTTTTAACAGATTGTTTTGCTCCTGAATATTTAGTTAATGTTTTCACATGAATTTGTAGTCGAAGGCATGTCGTGTCCGCTTTTTTTGTTATTCAGACAGTTTTTTACATGCATTTTCTATTCATGTGCCAAATTTCAACGAAAAATAATTGGGAGCAGATATGTTACAAGGTGCTTTATTAAATATACTGCTTTTTTTAGGTAGGGTTAGACAAACGTTTTTTGTGGTGTTTCTTTTTAGAAACATATATAAACAAAAGTTATATTTGGAAAGAAGAAAGGTTAGGCTTGATTTCTATAGTACTTTTATGTTTAATCAATAAACTTTTTTATGGTTAGTTTTGCTGAAAACTTTCAAGAAAATTTCGTTGATGTTCTCACATTAATTTGTTGTCGAAGGAATGTCGTGTTCGCTTTTTTTGTTATTCAGGCAATTTTTTACATGCATTTTTTTTGCACATGCCAAATTTCAGCAAAAAATAATTGGGAGCAGATAGTTTAAGAAGTGTAGGACTTCTGGTACCTAAATTTGGTTTTTTTTGTTTTTGTTTTATTGTTAAGAAATATACGGGGGAGGATAGGGGGGAAGCGGATTGTAAACAAAAAAATTACTACATTGAATTAATTTAAATTTTAATATTAGATTAAAATTCAAATAAAAATAGTAAAAGTTTTGGAATATAGAAAACTTTAAAAAGTAATTTGATATGTTTTTCATAATAATTTTTTAAAATTCTTTTTTAAAAAACAAAAAGTGATAAGTTTAAAAACTTTAATCTTTGTTTACATTGCATGTAAACAAAGATTAAGGTTTTTTTAAACTATATATACCAATGATGGTAATATGTACCAATGATGGTATATTAAAAAAGATTAGGATTTAAGATTAAACCGTTACTTTAGAATATTTTATTAACTAATAGTACCAGATACCAATGTTGTTAATACACCATATATATAAAAATATACAAACAACATTATTTATTATACATTAAAGTAAAATATTATTGGCTTAAGCCAATAACGTTTTTGACAAAATATGTATATAATAATAAGCTTATTTTATGTAAAAATATCAAGATACTTTTACAATAATAAGTTTATTCTTATAAAAATATCTTGTTAGTGTTTTTCTAATATACAGTAATATAATTTTAAGTAATTTTAATTTAAAGTAATATAATTTTAAAATACAGTAATTTAATTTGTCTTTTATTATTTTTTCATACCTGTTTTTTGTTAGTAAAATTTTTGTACGTAAAGCAGAACTGATTTAATAACTGTTATTTTTATTGACTGTTGACAATTTTAAGATGTTTTTTTTTTGATTATACAAGTTTTTTGTTATCTTTAGTCCAATATGCACAGACTACAACTGGTAAGTTATTATAGCATAACTTTTATTAACCATTGAAGAAATATATATATATATATATATATATATATATATATATATATATATATATATATATATATATATATATATATATATATATATATATATATATATATATATATATATTATATATATATATATATTTATATATATATATATATAAAATATTATAAAATAAATAAAATATTGCAATCAATGAGAAATTTGTACTCTTTTTAATGCGTACAAATTTCTCATTGATTGCAATATTGATTTTTATAGTATATTTTTTACCTTTAGTTCTTTCTACGTGTGCTACGCCTGGTAAGTTTCAAAACCTTTTTTCTTTTAACATGTTTATGCATTTCTTATTAATTGCATATTCTTTTTTGAAATTACATTTCTTATCAACTGGTTTTTAATTAAAACCTTTTTTATATAATTACATCTTCAGCTGTCACGCCAAGTAAGTTTAAAAATTATTACTTTTTAGACTATGAATGCATTTATTACCATTTGCAATTTGTATTTTTCATTAAAACAAATTTTAATTTTAGTTCCATCTGTACTACCTTTAAACAGTAAATTTATGAATCTGGAATGTCTCTGATTGATTATTGAGTTCCTCCTATTCCTATTTATATAATCTATTTAATACTTTTGTGTTTTGTTATATGAAGCTTATAGGTCATTTCGAACTTAAAATTAATATCATTTACTAAAAGCCAAGACATAGAGTAATTACTATGTTTCAAAACATTTTTATTTTTTATTTTTTTTATTAGGTTGGTGGGTTAAATATGATCATTTAAATGAGAAAATGTATACTAGTGCAGTTTGTAATCTGGTAAGACAATTATGTATTGTGCTTTCTCTTTTTTAATAATTGCATGTGAAAGTGTTGAAAATGTCATTTCTATGTGTTTTCTTTTTTATGTTGGTTGAGGGAAAGGGGGAAAACCATCCCTCTCCTCAAATTGTACATCACTAATGTATGTTCTATAGTAAAAAAATATTGCTTTATGTAGTACAACAATATTTTCAATACTAATGTATGTTGTATAGTTATAAAAGATTATTTTTTGTCAGGTGGGGAAGGGGGAGAGGTGGTGCATCATACTTCCTTCGTTTCAATGTATCAATATACATCAATAATATGTTAAATAGTAATAAAAGAGTATTTTTAATTTTTAACAGTGGATTTAATTATTGTAATAAAGATAAAATTATTTTTATTTTTTATGAGTCGGGGGGGGGGGGCGGGGGGCGGTGCGACATACACCCTCCCCTAAAGTTAGTGTTGTACATCACTAATAAATGTTTTATAGTAAAAAAAAATATTTTTACTTTTTAACAAAATATTTAATTACTGTAAAAAAGATTAAATTATTTATTATATTAGAAAGTAATATTATTGTATTTAGGGTGTTATAACATCACAACCACATCTATGACCAACTCTAAGGTCACGTTATTTTGTTTGGCAGTGTTTTGGAATCAAGTTATGGCAAAATTTTATGTATAAAATATAACAATTACATTTAAAAAGTGCTTATTTCTGACAAAAACTTGTATTTTCTTAAGGGTTAGATGCTGTTTCATTACCCCCTCTGGTTCCCAAGATACACCCTACATCCAGGCACCAAAATTAACTTGTAGCCCATTAGTGCACCTATCTTGTGATACCAAGATATAGGTATTTGGATAAAAATTGACAAAGTTATAACAATTAAAGTGAAAAAAATAATTATTTTGACCACAGTTTCTTCAATAATTCCATATTCTTGCGGCGAACGTGACGTCACTTTAACTAACTAAACGGCTACCATTATGGTATGGGGGCAAACAAAGCGCTTGAAAATGAAGAAATGTGTTTTTGATTGTTCAATTAATGTTAATAGTCATCCGAACTTGATTTGTTATATTTTGCTTCCTGATCCAAAGAGAAGAAAATCGTGGCTTTATGCTTTATATAAAACTGATTCATCTTGCAAAAACAAACTTTGGTCGCAAAACATGTCTAAGTATGCTCAAAACATTTGTATCTGGTAAGTTTTGTATTTGAATCGAGCACAAATTTTTCTTGAACTTATTAAGTTTTTTTCGTCTATATATTTTTATTCATTGTAAGTATGTTTCTCTTTTAGGAAAAAAAAGGACATAGTCTAGATGCTTTTCAAAATTTTGAAAAGCATGTTGACTATGCTCCATCAGTAAATATGTTAGGTGCTAAAAAATATATATAGTGAAATCATCCCTCCAACATAACCAATTGTTATGTGAAATGAAAGGAGAATAAATAGATTAAACAATTCAATTAGAATATACTATATAGTATTGGTATGTACTGTATAAACAACAAGATAAACTATATAATATAGTTTATCTTGTTGTTTAAAATGTTTTTGTAAAAACTGTTTATGTAATAGTTACAATTTATTTTTGTTTTGCATTGATGCATAACAAAAATAAATTGTATATATAAATATTAATGCATTAAAACTAAGCATTTATAAATCATGTGTTTATTGTTTTTATTTTTAAATAAATTAATGTTCAATAGCTTGTTAAGCACAAATTTTGTATTTACTATATACCTCAAACATGCTTATATTTTTTAGAATATTATGTACAAATAAGTCATTGCAATAAATCTCAAGTTATTAAAGTCAGTGAACAAATAAGTACTGACAATTCGTTGACTGGAGTGGAAGATGTTAGTGTCTTGAACCAACATGAAACAACAAGTTAACTTAGCTGAGAATGATGGTAGTTTAAAAATAATGCAGCATTGGCTAGGTAAGTGATTATGTGTATGTTGGCTCACTCATAAGTCAATATATATGTGTTTATGTTCTGTGTCGACCTCTGGTGTCGTGTTGGCTCACCCTTTAGACATTATATGTGTGTTTGTGTTCTGTTTCAACCTCTAGTGCGGTGTTGATTCACTTGTAAGTCATTATGTGTATAATTTTATTTTGTTTTATTGTGTTATTATAGTGATGTTATTGTTGTGATGCTTTGTGTTGATAGACAACTTTGCTTACCTTCTCGTTGGTGTCTCTTGCTACAAATGATTATTAGATAGTTTTTTTACTTGAATTTGTTACTTCTAATCATTTACTAAAAGGCAAGAAACATGTTTTAAAGAAAAACATACTTTTAATGTTGTCATTTTTAATCTTTAGGATTGTTCCTAGGTCACAAAAACAATCTTACAAAGTAAGTTTCTTCTTTATTATTTATTTAGTTATATTTTTAATTAAATTTTCATTTTTCATGTTAACATGATACATAAAACATTAATTTGTAAATGCTTTCAGCATAAATTGGTTCTATTTTCTTTAGTAGAGTTTCTGCTGTTGTCACTAGTTTTAGAGAGTACCTTCGTGAATGAAGATAAAAAGTCATTTATGTTATTTTTTAAAAGCCAAGACATAATATTGTTAATCCTCATACTATTTACTAAAAAGCTTTTTAAATATTTTTACGATGTTATAATTCAAATTGTTGTAATTAGTAATTTTGATCATTTCATTATTATACTGTAAAAAATATTTTTTATTTATAACATTTATTTCACATATATTAAAAACATGAAGAATAAATATTACACTGAGGAAAATTTTAAGCAAAATATAGAATTTTTAAATGTTATGAGAATATCAATATGTAATATTTTTGTTTTATTTATTGACTACATCTGTAAGCTGTGCAATAATTTCAAAATGATGAATTAATTGAATTCCATGATTCCTTTAAGCATTTGCACAGATTTTTTCAATATAACGCTAAATATTGTTCTGGTAACGTTCAGCAGCTTTTTTAGATAACTTTTCTTGATAATCCTAAGACATTTTCAAGGCGTTTAAGTAATGATGTACTGAAATCAGCGCGTTTGTTTGCCCCCATATCATAATGGTAGATATTTTTGTTTTTAATTACGCAATGATCACGTGGTTTTTTCGCCGCAAGAGTATCTAAAATTTGATACTAAAAATGTTATAACTTTTTTTAGAATTGTTCGTTTTTAATAATTTTTTCAACTTTAAAATACTGTATTGAAGGCCTATCTAATGATATATAACATTCTACTATATGATCAATATAAAAATTTCAGTGCGCGTACCTATATATATATATATATATATATATATATATATATATATATATATATATATATATATATATATATATATATATATATATATATATATATATATATATATATATATATATATATATATATATATATATATATATATATATATATATATATATATATATATATATATATATATATATATATATATATAATCCAATAACAAGTGCACATAACATTACACTTAAATTATTACATATAATATTACAAAACGATAAAAAATAGTAAATAATTAGAAGTACCTTAACTTTAACTACATGCGCCACGAGGTTTCGAAAATTAAATGTTGTTAGAAATAACATGAAAGTAACGCATGCGTATAACATTCCAAAAAACAGTTCTAGGTCTGCGATTTCTTCAAAATCGGAAATGTTAGAATGAACGACATTAAATAGCACTAACCGTATCCATCCAGTCGGAATCACGTGACTGTATTGCGAAACCAAAAGTAACCATATTGAATTGGGGGAAAACAAACTATTCTTTCCTTAGCGAAGTTAAGACTTTTTTAGAAGCACTATGTCCTTCAATTACTTTGAAACTTTATCAAAAGAAGCAGCGGAAAGGTATCAGCGAAAAATAAATCTTCTAGGTAATTTTACTTTAGTTTTACTCTGTTTAAATAAAAAAATGCTATTAATTGCTGTTTAAATATTATTTTGGTTTAAATATTCTTTTGGTTATTAAATATTATTTATTGGTTATTAAATATTATTAGGGTTAAGTAAATGTCCATACAAGTTTACAGCAGATTCTTGGAGTGAAGATCCAAGTCAGTGGCCTTCTTTAAGCTATCACAATCTTTATCACTACTTGATTAAAACTCCACGTAAGGAATTCTTATCTAATTTCAAAGTTTTTTTATTATTTCATTATACCAATAATATTAGTAACATTAACTGCTAACATTTCAAAAATTTTTTGTTTTCTTTGCTTTATAATATATATTATGGATGTATATACATGGATGTATATAATATTATGCTTTATATTATATATTATTTAAAAAAAATGTATATACAAAATCCTAATATAATTTTTTCAATGTTAACGTTTATTAGGTATCTATTCTCCAGAAGCAATGGAAAACTATAAGGCATTAGAGGCTTGGAAATTCTTTCAAGATGGGTGGGTCCAAACTATTGTCCATATGAAAGTATGTCAGAATGTTACTATCTTGAAATGTAAAGTTCGACCTTCATATAGGATCACATCTCCTAACCATAAACCTTGGGTTGCTCTCAACTCTCTTGGTAATGTTTTAACTGCTCACTGTGACTGTATGGCTGGGTAAGTCTCTTTTATATAAAATTAGTAAAAATAGAATTGAAAATTTTGATTATTAGTATAAGCTAATAAAAAATTAATAAACTGATAATAATTGTGAGTTATTTTGTGGAACTTTTCATATGTTTTTATACCTATAGTTTACCTATAGTTTTTTATCGACTATAGTTTTATAGTTTTTATCTATTTTTTAAGTCTTGGTGAAACGTGCTCACATGTTGCTGCAATGCTATATAAAATTGAAGCTGCTGTTCGTATTGGAATGACATTAAGCACATCAACTGACTTGCCTTGTCAATGGAACCAAACATTTAGGAAAAGTATTGTTGGCTCCCCAGTTGCTCAAATCAACTTATATTCTGATGCTGCAAAAGAAAAACTTTCTAAAAAGAGTAAAAGAAAAATGCCTATTTCTCCAACACCTCAAGAAAAAAATGATTTTTTATCAGAAATACAAACTGTGCAGCCCAAAACTGCTGCTCTTCATTTGTTTAAAGATTATGATAAGGAGTTTATTCAAATAGAATCTGCTGTCGTACCAAAATTACCAACATCTTTGAGAGAGTTTTTTAATGAAAACTATAAATCACTTAATAATGAACAAAAGCTATCTTATCTTGATGAGAAAAAAAAAAGAAATAAATTTGACTTCTGATATGATAGTTTATGTTGAAGAAGCAACACGAAATCAATCGCTATGTGATACCTGGTTTAGAGTAAGAGTTGGTCGAATAACTGGCTCCACTTTGCATCAAGTTTTTAATGCTAGAGTTGAAACACCTTCTGTGTCATTAATTTTAAATATTTGTGCACAGAAAAATATACAGATAAAAAGTCCTGCAATAAAGTGGGGAAGAGTAAATGAAATAAATGCATTGATTTTATATAAACAGATTCATTCTGACTCAAATGCAATAAGTAACTCAAAACCGCTGTCAGATATTTTTATTCATTAAAATTTGAGAGTTGAAAAAATTGGACTTTGTATTGACTTTGAAAAACCATGGTATGCAGCATCTCATGATGGTGCTGTTTATTGTACTTGTTGTGGGCATGGAGTTTTAGAAATTAAATGTCTTTTTAGTTTAAAAGACAAGTCATTAAAAGAGCACATAATTAAAAATGCTTTTTATGTTGGTGTAAACGCGGATGGAAACTACTTTTTAAAAAAAGAACACCAATATTTTTTCCAGGTTCAACTTAAAATGAGAGTAACTGGAGTCAGTTACTGTGACTTCATGGTGTGGACACCCAGTGAATTTGTTGTATTGCGCATTGAGCCTGACACCACTTTCATCGAGAATGTATTAATTAAGTGTGATATTTTTTGGAATACTTTTATTTTGAGAGAGTTAGTTACACGAGAAATCGAATCAGAAAGAGAATTGCTTTCCTCAACATCAAATAATACTATAAATAAAGACATACTTTTTTGCATTTGTAAATCTAAGTTTTCAAAGTGATGATACAATGGTTGGTTGTGGTTCATGTGATAACTGGTTTCATCTTCAATGTTTATCTTTGAAATCAGCGTCTAAATCTTCTGTATGGTATTGCAGTTACTGTAAATACAAATATAGTTCCTACACACTATAAAAGTAATTTATGTATTTTTAATTTTAAAATATAATTATTAGTTTTTTAAACTATATATTAAATACATTATGGAAATTTTTTTTAGCCTTTTATACAATAATGGTGCACAGTTTTTTTTATTTTTTATTTTAATTCACCTCCTCAAGGCCGAGAAGGCCACTACAGACGAGGAGGCTACTTATTCGTGGCTATAACCCTCTCTCAACTCTATAACTCCGAAACACGAACCTTGACGAACAAGGCCGCTGCGCGGAGAAACGAGTTGAGCGCGGTACTACCAGGGACGTGGTGGGGATCGAACTCGGAACCACTCGTTTATGAAGCGAGCGCTCTACCGCTACACCACTACCACAGTTGAGAAATCAAGAAAACATTGGCTTGCTCAATTAAAAGAATATGTATCTTCTTGGTGAGTTAAAAAAACGGCTATTTTCATAGCCACATATTATTAAAAACATATTAAGGCGTACGTTTTGAACTAATACAGTTATAAATAAAATACTTATAGCCAGTTAAGTTGTTTTGCGCTTTATATGAAAACCCTTGCCTGTCAAAAAGAGAAAATTTTTCATAATAACCTTGGATTAGGGTAGGTGGCACTTTTAGATGCTTATCGAAAGGGTGACTCTCGATATCTTGTTTTATGGTTTTGATTTTTTAAACAGTACATTAAAAGGTTTTATTTTTATCCGTGTCTTTATAATTTTTTTACTATAAAGTCTGATTACACCAAAAGTTTAAAACTTGTAACCCCTACCCCCTCTCTCTCTTTCTCATAGAACTTTTTAAAAATAATAATAAACATGGAAGAAGATAAAATAAAAGAGGGGGGTCTTAATGCACTTTTCAAAAAGTAGTGAGGTCATAAAACGATCTGAGTATTTTTATCTTTCTTTATATATAACTAAAGGTAGCTTTAATTTGCAGGGCCGACGACATCATAGAGACACCGAGCCCCATCCCCCCCCAACCACTTTTTTTCTAAAGGACCCTTTTTTTTTCTTTTAGAAAATTCAAGATATCGAGGACTTTTCTTAGAAATTGATAATTATGCCCCTCCACTTCGAAACCCATGTCGTTGGCCATGGTTTGGTACAGAAGATTTTTAGAAATTTAACCTTCTCTGATTTTTTAACGGGAGTTTGAATTGCGTTGCTTTTCTCTAAACCGACTAACACCCTGGTTTTTTTCCTTTATTCGTGTACGTTTTTAACACGGTAGAGAATTACTCTCAATTAAAAACCTACCTTTTTTAAAATTATAACTTACAACAGTTCCTTGTAATGTTTAAAAATAAAAAACAAAGAAAATTGTCTGCAGGGCTGGAATTATAAAATATGTTAGCATGTATGGGGTGAACCGTGAGCATGTAGAGGGGTTAACTGAGAGCATACAGGTGTGTACAGCAAAGGATGGCCTTCAAGACGGCAAGTATTTACGCGGTTTTTTTTAACCAAAGACAATAATTTTCATTCCTTCTGTTAAGAACGCATATTTTTTAGTTATGCACAAAAAATTTTAAAAGTTTTGATTTTGTTTGGTTTTACAATTTTGAAATATTACTTAGAGTACTCGATTTTATAATAATAATATATATGTATATATATATATATATATATATATATATATATATATATATATATATATATATATATATTGGAATAGCATATAACAAAAGACAATAGACTATGTATTTTTTGTTACCAATAATAAAACCACTAATCTCTTGTAAAGAATTATCTATACCAAGTAATACTTTTAATATGATTTGTGGCTATGAAAATAGCCGTTTAAAAAATAACTAAGATAAAAGGTGAGTTTTATCGTAAACAATACCTTCCCCAAGGTTTGTTAGAGCAGCGCATACGGTTACTATTTTGTCACAATTAGAAAGAGTAAGTGACGTAGCTTCGTCAGAAATGTTTTTAACTGTTCGCAGCGGCAAAGTACCTTGAAGAATTGTATAGCGGTTTTTTAATAGTCAAATAACTCTTTCAATATGTATTCTAACCGATGATATATTACGAGATTTTTCTACATCTGAAGCAGAAAGTTGAGCTTTACCTTTCGTAAAAGCTGGGTTTATCAATAAAGAGCAGCTTCCAGCAGCAAAATCATCTTGCAATGTAAAACCTCTATCTGCTAAAATTTGATCACCTGGCATATGGTACTTGCTAGATGCGAATTCTGATTCACGGACAATTTGATTATCTGAAGCTCTACCTCCATAGCACTTAGAAATAAAATTGATAGCTCCAAGAGGTGTACACGATATAAGACATTTTATTGTGCAATTCTTTTTATATTTGCTGTAAAATTGTGCTCTTGCCATAAGGGATGATGGCGATTCCACAAAAACCTCAAAACAATCAATAATCGATGTTAATCGTGGAAATTTGCACTTGAAAACTGGAGGAATTGTGTCGTAAATATGATTCCTATCTTGCATTTTTATTAAAAACTTTAATTTAATATACATAATATCTATCCATTTCCAAAAATTGTTCAATGCAGTAGTTTTTTTAAAACCAAACATAAACGATAACATATCAAAGTTAATGTTGTGCCTTAACTTTACTAAGCAGAATACAATTTGATCTGCTGAATCCAATCTTTTAAGTAAACTTTCATCAGTTCCTTTGCACAGGAAACACAGCAGCTTTTCTAATACTGGTAGACTTAAACCTGTAACCATAGTGCATTTATCAGGTTGTGATCGAATTTTATTTATTCCCAGGTTGCAATTATCAAATTTTGAGAACATAAACTTTGACATAAATAAATCTCTTTCTAAACGAAGATTATTTATTTCACTATAGAGTTGTTGTCTCTCCGATGTTGTTACAGGTCTTATGCCATCAATATCTGAATACAAATTAAAAAAACTCTCAGTGGAATTTTGCTTTAACTGACAATCGGTGTCATTAAGAACACTTGTTTCTAAAAAAATAGAAGAAAAAAGTATTTATATTTACTTCTAAGTAGGTAAGTATTTATATTTACAAATATTTTATATAAAAGACAAAGATATAATTGAAGCTAAGATAAATATTTTTTTGTAACTCTTATTGGAATCTTCAGCACTTATAGGAATAGAAAATTCTGGAAAAAATTAAAACACTGTATTTATAAAGAATTTCCAAAAAAAAGAAGAAATATATATAAATTGGTCATTTGAGAAACACCTCATATACAAAAAAATAAAACTCAAAAAAAAAACCATATTCATACATCTTTTGAATTTTTTTGTATTTTTCTACTGGAGTGACTAAGTGGAGATGATTTGTTTTATGCATGTTGGATGTGTCTAGCCTTCACAAACAATTTAATGTCTAACTTAATTTTGGCCAAAAATGGACATTTCTCAAAGGACTGATTCATATATATTAATTAAATAGTTATCAATTTGTCTGAAAATATCACTTGAGCATTGTTCTAAATTACCTTCATTAGGTGTAGAAAACCAAAACTCTAGAAGAAAAAATCAAACTTTTTTTAAAATGTATGTAGATTTGAATACAATAATTAATCCTTGTTTAAAATCTTTACAAAAACATTGTTCTAGAAGATTTTTATTTGCATTTAGGATTACTATGTTCTGGAAAATATTAACAAATAAAGTGTTTATCAATGAGTTTTACAATTGTGCAAAATAAAAAACATAAAAAATTATTCTAAAAAAAAAAAGGTTTTAACTTAAAAATTATCTATAAGCTTCAGAGCATTGATTGAAAATATTTTCATTATTCATTGGAAAATAAATTCTTGAAAATAATTTTTTATTAATTTACAATAAACATTAACAATACAAAATACAAAAATTTAATAGCAATTGTATGCTTTGTTCATATCTATTCTAAAACTATTGCTAAATTATTGTTTTATAATAATTCTATTAGGTATAGAAACGCTAAAATCTGGGGAAGAAAAATCAAAATTTAAAGGAAAATAAAAGAATATATACATTTGAATATGATAATCAATACCTTCGCTAAAACTTTTGCTTGAGCTTTGTTTTTGATCTTCGTTACATGTAGAATTACTTAAACTTATGCTGGA